GTTGAGTTTTTGAAATTATTTGTTAGCTTCTTAAACAAAACAGACCCATAATAATTCAAATCTTTATCACCCAAGACCAAGACAAATTTTTTTTAAAATTATTGCATGCCTTAAGTATTTGCAAAGTTAACAAAAATATTTCTTTGCATACCTTGCAATTAATATATTTGGTCTAATTTATCAGTTCTGCATCATATCCGAAATTCAGATTGTGTGTGAAGAAAAATGGCAAGTAAAAAATGTACAATTTTAATTACTAATTACACAGTCCTTCCCATTGAGTTCTTCTGCCTAAAATTTATATTGCTTCCATTAAGATTTTAAATATAAATGATTGAAATTCATAACAAGTTTACCACAATTTAAACTTAAGATAATTATTTAATTATTAAATTCATAATTATATTAAAAAATAACACTACGAAGTTAATAAATATTAACTATTTCTAGTTAATCATTTAATAGTTATTCTGATAAAAACACACTGGATTTTTTATTTTAGAAATCATACAGGCTATAATCATTAATATGACTATGTATTAACAATACTTAAATTAAAATTTATTTGAAGGAATGCTACAGAAGTATTAACTCAGAATTATTAAACTGCTCATCGCGTTATCGATGTCGGCGTCTTGTGACTGTTGTCTGGCTGATTGGCCGTTTAGGTACCTATAGTTTGATTTCAAGATAACGCAGATTTTAATGTGCCATTTGTGGTTTTGTTATTGGAATTTTTTTTACATATTTGGTATACTCTATGAAGTGCTCATGTCATTTTCAATTATTAACGTACCTATTTAGATACATTTAAAATTAATTAATTAGTGTATAATGGTGAATTATGGGTTTGTTTATTTTTTATGAAATGTATTTTTTTTCTATTAAAATAAACATAGTTTTACTTCAAAATTACTAGCTAGCCATTTTCTTAAATACGGGCTGTTAATTAAGTATCTGGCCAACTTCAGAAGGTGATTCTTTGTGTTTTTAAGGTAAAAAGTTTCTATCTCAGTTACTCAAAGGTAAAAATATAAACATGTGTCCGGAAATGCATAATTTTAAAGATACAGGGTGTCAAGTCCTAATAGACATTTTTTTATTAATATTTCAAAGATCCGTTGGCCGATTTTGTTGAAATTTCGCCGTGTTGTGAATTTTGATAAGTTAGCACTAATTATATTAATTATTGTCCTAAGTTGATAATTAAAAAAATAATAATCATATATGTGTGATATGTGATTCTGCTCTTTCTCGTATAATTTGCTCCTTGTTTCTCATACGGAAATAGTTAGATTAAAATAGCCAAACTGTACCTAACAACCCATGCCTTGACATATTTTCTTTTAAAATAATATCGCTTACTTTATCCGCCGCGCCGGTCCAGACTCGATCTTGCCCTATTCGCTCATCAACGCCGGCTCTATCAACTTAAGAACGTGTTGACAGGCAGGTTATTGAACCCATGTTGTTTCTAGTATGTCGTTTTTTTAAAGATGGGTCCCATATAAACGCGGCCAGAAGTATTTTCAATACTAAAACCCCTACTGAAATCCAAACTAATTACACCTTACAACACCTACACAGTTGTTAATTAAATTTCTCTGTGTATTAACAGATGCTTTACTACCGATTTCCAGCTCAAAAATATTTCCTCCGGTATTTTCAAGTATTAATGGTTTCCAGTTGACTAAGCATTCTCATTTCGAACTAATTAAGAGAAAATTTACCAAACACCTCTTTCCGAAAAAACGTTTTGAGGCCGAACCGTTTACACAGATTATTTCAATTTCTTTACCAAAAGAGTATTCCTAATGCTACAGTATTTAGAGGTAATTTACCCCGGCCGACTACATTTCTGCGGAATTGTTAATCCGATACCCGCGAAATAAATTTAAATGGGTGCCGGCTATGTGTTATGCATTTAAAATATGTATTTTGCATCAGAATAGTGCGAAATCAAATTGTGACGTGGGTCGGGTCAGGTCGGTCAGTAGCGCACTGAAATTATTTTTCGGTGTTACTTCGTTATAATTTGCGTTTTTTGTTTAACTAATATACCTAATAATTTAAAAAATACTAGGAACTACACTCATACAAACTTACCTAGAAAAAAAGTCCTCCTCTAGCTAGAAAAGGTGGGAAATCAACTTAAAGCAGAACTCAAGAACCTGGAAGACTCCATCTGTAACCTGGAATAGGAATTATCCAACGGTCTAATATAAAGTCGTACCTCTATCAATATACTATCAATTTTTTTTTCTTTTAATTCTTGGCTTTAGGTCGTTGGGGTCGCAAAGATGTTACTAGATTTTGTTCATTATTTTTTTTTATGACGACGCGCGACGCCGCGACGCGACGTTTCGACAGTATATCTCTTTTTCAAGTCTCTTGAACGTAGATTCCTACAGAATTAAAATTGTTAAAAACTGGACTAAAACACAGTAACACATATTAAAACTATTATTTTAATTGAGTAGACATCGGCTATTGAAACGATAATTATGTTTTATACAAAACAGGTCGAAAATACATACTACACTATACTAAAGTGTGGTGTCCCGAAACAATTAAAATAATAGTTTTAATATGTGTTATTGTGCTGTTGTCCAGTTTTAACAATTTTAATTCTGTAGGAATCTACGTTCAAGAGACTAGAAAAAGACATAAATATACTGTCGAAACGTCGTCATAAAAATAAAATAATGAACAAAATCTAGTAACATCTTTGCAACCCCAACAACCTAAAGCCAAGCAGCAATATATTATATTGATCGCTACCTGTACCTACATATGCGGCAGAACGTGGACTTGACGAGTCTGATACCACAAAACCCACTACGCCCCCTCATTACATTGACTGTTTGCAAGTTTTTCAAATTTTTATTGACGGACGCATCGTCTGATTTTTTAGTAGAATGATTGATTAAAACGGTAGTAGACTTACAGTAGAACCATAAAAACCTACCTGGAAATCTAGAAATATCTACTATCTACCTAGAAAAGCGTGAGCAGCCGCTGGAAATATTTTATAGTTTTATCGAAGCTATAACAAAGACGTTTTATGATAATTGAGTTAATGGCATGTGCCTATCGGCAGTTTACCAATAGCTCAAGACGTGATGTGATACTGTTCATAAAGCCTGCTAAAATATTTTATTAGATTGGTAGTACTCAGGCGTTCGAAATAATATACATTGTTACGTTTTTCGTCGGTTCCGTGTGGATAGAAAGTCACAAGTTATTTAAACACAATTTATTCTACACAAAGTAACAACAAAAAAATAACGATAAAATACTTTAAAGAACTATTTACAAACTATTTATAACTATTTATCTAGAAAGAATTTATTTTGAATTTAGCGCGGCAACTGTACTCGTTTATTTGTTTCTGTCCTCCCCTCAGGCCTCAGGCATCGGCTTATATACCCACAGCTAAACAGTTCTCGAATAGTCCGTTAGACGTTAGATCATTAGGTGCATAGAGAGAAGGTTTAGAATGTTCTCGTATGTACTCCTCCATTCCAGTGGAACTCGATTGTTCTCGAACGTTCGAATGAATCATTACGGTGTCTATTCTTTAATACGATATTAAGGTCATATGGGGGCGGGGCATATTAGTTACTTAGAGTTAGCCGAGTCCACATGGGTCCCCAACAATATGAAGATAATAATTATAAAATTTACCGTCCAGATATTGTCAGTAAGCAAAATATTTTTTGTACAGATCGAAATCAATACAGATTATTTAGTATCAGCTAGTCATTCCATTTCGTCTCAGGTCTTTATTTTATATTATCTTCTTTTTTTGTACCAATTCAATTTTGTTTTTTATGCAAATTGTGCAGGTATAATTTAATTATCAAATTAAAACTATATAAAATACAAAATCGAAGAAAAAATAATTGCAAAACATATCAGAAAATACAACATTTAATAATCGATGATTCGTATAGATGTGGGCTATATTATTTAAAAGAGTAAGGTCTAAAATTAAATACTTTATTTCAAATAATAATGGTGTATGTAATTAAATATTTTAAATTTTATTTCAAAGCTGTGCTCATAACCTTTCGAGTAAAGGTTATGAGCTCGTTAAAGCTAAAAATAATTAAAAAATATATCGATATGAAAATATTAAAAAAAATTTTTAATAATTTTGTTTTAAAAAAAAACTCCTAGCGAAATAAAATTAAAAATAATTTTTTAATATAGTTTTACTCAAACTTTTTTATATAGCGCATTTTATATTGTCCATTTCTAACATTTACAGTTTCTTTACTACTACCGTATGATCGAATAAAAACGGCATCAGCGATGGCTATGAAATGAAGATTGCTGTCATTTTATATATAAAATTATATGGGAAATGTCATTAATCGTCATTTCATAGCCATCGCTGACGCCGTTTTAATTCGATCATACGGTATTTTACTAAACAGAGATCACCAGTTATTTGTAATTTATATTGTATATGTTATATTACTGTCTCAAAGTAATGAATATTATGCAAAATTTTTTCAAGATTTCCTAAAGAAGATCGCAAGATCACTTATAAAAACTTTAATTACTATTAATTTTTGACTTCCGCCTGTAGACTTAGTCTATTAGTTACGTGAGGTAACCAAAGGGGGAAGGGAATCAAGCCGAATCTCACTAAATCTCACGTGAGGAAGAGAGGCATTTTCGGCAAATAACACATAATTTTTTGTAAAAAAAATAGTATAAACATGTGAGGAAATTAGATCAATTTAAAGTAAAACATGTTTTTAGGGAGGGGGAGGACGTCAAGATACATCTCACGAAATCTGACCAGTGGGTGAAAGGAGGTCTTCAACGCCTCACGGAGTTTATGGACGCCTCCTTAAGCTAGCCAATATCAGCCAATATCATAAGGATTTCTACGCATCTTCTTGCTTATTTTTTTTACCTCTATATCTCTGAAAAATACCGACATTACAATGCTACCTATAGTTACATTCTCTTTTCCTTGATTTCAGGTACAAAGATGACCAAGAGTTCTACAGGTACTCACCAACAGGCCGCCAGATAGTCCAGTTTCCTCTGAGCGGCATCAATGTGGATTCAGACGATACGAGTTGCGACGCACAAATCTGTAATTTGGTGTTGACAAAGCTCAGAAGACCTGAAAGCTCTGGCGCTTACCGATGTGAAATCAGCAGCGAAGCACCGACTTTTAATTTGGTTTCGAAAACGCACAACGTCACAATAGTTGGTAAGAATAACTAAATATATTTGAGGAGCAGACTTACTAAATGCATTTTATCCATTTTTTAAGATTTTCAACCAAAGTTGGCATTGCAAACTACATACACAGAGTTACAATACGATGCCAGAAACGACGTGTTAAATACATTTTATCCCATTCGAATTAAATGGGGAAAGTACCTTAGACTTTCTATGTGCTGTATGTCCATTGGCGGTAGACAAACAGAAGTATGTCCTTGTGTGTTGTGGACATACTGCTGTTTATTTGTCATTGCTAGATGAATAGTTTTTTATGTACTAATTTTTTTCTATTTTTTGAATAATACTACTTAAAATAATGAATGGTACTATGACTGGGAACCATGTAGTTGGGGATACAGACCATGGTAGAAGAAAAATGAAGAGAAATTTCACGTCTAAATGACAGTCAACAATTTTTTTTTAATTTTTTTCAGATATCATGAAAACTATATTTTTCACATGTAGGTGTACTATTTTTATGATTTTTTATCCATTTTTAAAGTATAACTAGTTTTTCTGTAAGTTTCGTAAAATTCGAAATCATGGACAGAATGCATCTAGAAAGTCTGTTCCTCATTTAGATTAATATTTCGTTGTTTTAATGCCCTCAAAATAGTTAAAATTGTTTATATTTGGTCGATATCGATCAAAATAGATCTCATGTTTATTTTTTTGTGATTGGTCGACGACATTTCGACAAATATTTCGTCCACCTCAGGACTACACTATATGTGTCTTATATAAATACCGGGTGCGTCTCAAAAGTGGCTCACCCCTATAATTTTTTTTTCAGTTAAAAAAACGAGATTTGGTATGTCAGTATATGACATAAATTAGGATTGATTGACGTATTCAATTGTTTTCCGTCATTTGCTGTTTCATCGGAAATGACTACAACTTTTGATTTTTAAATGACACCCTAGGTATTTTTTTACTTTATTCGATAGAAAATAACACTCTCAATAGAATGACATATCATATGTCAAATTTTGACATTTTTTATTTGAATTTATAACTTGCGGTTCGTAACGAAAATTTGACTCAAAATACCAAGGTGTGGTATCAAATTATTCGTAAAAAATGCTTTTTTCAAATATGCTAATGAGCCACCCTCGTTCCATTTGAAAAAATTGAGATATGATTATAAATACGATTTGGGCATCTTTTAACCGGCCAGGATAAGACACTAAAAAGATTAGACGATCAAATCTATTTTTCCAAGGCTCCTTGATTAAGAATTAGTGTTTTTAACATAGCGATGGCACTATAGATTGAAATTTAAAGTGCTATTTTTTTATTAAGGGAGAATGTCAAAAGTTGACATATGATGTCATTATACAGGGTTGTTCACCACATACGACACGGAGTATTGTAGCTAAACGATTAGATTTTTACAAATTGTAAGTTTTGGGTTCGTTGGAGGACTATTAGAGCTACAATTTGAAAATATCTTTACAAGGTACAAAGTGTCCCAAATAAGTAAAAAATATTATAGTTGTATTTTTTTAAATGGAACACCCTGTATATTATTCTATTTTTAGATTCTACGATTAAAATAAAGGTAAATTTGATTAAGGTTTATCACACTTAAACCTTACCGTTTTTGAAATATTTTGAATTTTATGAAATTGCAGTAAACATTTTAAGGCTTCATTTCTCCAAGAGTATCAAAGTTTTTAATACTAAATATTTACTGAAGATTATTTATTGATGAGATATTGTGTTGCAATAATAAAAATTCTACTACCTTATACAGAGTGTCCAAAAATTTATATTAAGTAATTACTAGCTTTAAACAGCAATAACTTGTTTAATTTAAATGGAACACCCTGTATATTTTACGTGAATCATATGCACAATTTAATTGTCTATCAAATTGCATTATACCATTTTTTACCCATCTCTTCAAGTTTTCGTAGAAAATGCATTTTTTTATAATTTAGACCTCATTAATCACTATACCTATGGAATATTGACATTTTATATTATTTTTAAAGATGTAACAAATTTTCAAAGAGTACAGACACTAATATTGTCGATATAGTTGGCTTATTTTATTAAAAAATAAAATAAAAAGCTGTTTAAATATTTTTTGTTAAAGAGGACCAATTAATATAATCCCAGTATTCAAACTACATTAATTGACTGTTTACGTTGATTAATAATAATTGCTCCAGAACTGAAAAACTGAATTTTGTGTGTGTATTAGACACTGTGGTAACAAGTAAGACATTTTATTTTACTTAAAAATTTTATTTTATTTTTTGACGAATGCTAATTTATAAAAACAGAGACGTTCATTTCCAAAACTTATTATAATATTGATTTCTGAGCCAAATCAACATTTATTTAGAATACTTTATTAATTAAAACAATTTAAAAGTATGTAATTAATGGTGGGAAATAATAATTTTTGGTGGGAAATAATGGTGGTATATTTAATTGGTATACTCTTTTAAAAAGATTTAAATAGCTTTTTGTATACCAATAATAGGCTTGCAATATTTACCACCTGTATATTTTGTACATATATGTTGCTTTAAAAAAAATCTGAAATGTCAATATTCCATGGGTATAGTGATAAATGAGGTCTAAATTATAAGAAAATGCATTTTCTAAGAAAACCTGATGAGATAGGTAAAAAATGGTATAATATAATTTGATAGACAATTAAATTGTACATGTAATTCTCCTAAAATATATAGGGTGTTCCATTTAAATTAAACAAATTATTGTCGTTTAAAGCTAGTAATTACCTAATATAAATTTTTGGACACTCTGTATAAGGTAGTAAAAATTTTATTATTGCTACATAATATCTGATCAATAAATAATCTTCAGTAAATATTTAGTATTAAAAACTTTGATACCCTTGGAGAAATGAAGCCTCAAAATTTTTACTGCAATTTCATAAAATTGAAAATATTTCAAAAACGGTAAGGTTTAAGTGGGAAAACCCTTAATCAAATTTACCTTTATTTCGATCGTAGAATCCAAAAATAGAATAATATACACGGTGTACCATTTAAAAAAAATACAACTATAATATTTTTTAATTATTTGGGACACTCTGTGTCTTGTAAAAATATTTTTAAATTGTAGCTCTAATAGTCCTGCAACGAAGCCAAAACTTACAATTTGTAAAAATCTAATCGTTTAGCTACAATACTCCGTGTCTTATGTGGTGAACAACCCTGTATTCAGAATATCATTTTCTATCGAATAAAGTAAAAAAATACCGAGGGTGCCATTTAAAAATCAAAAGTTGTAGTTATTTCCGATGAAACAGGGAGTGACCAAAAACAATTGAATACGTCAATCAATCCCAATTTATGTCATATACTAACATACCAAATCTCGTTGTTTTATCTGAAAAAAATAAAAAAGTTATAGGGGTGAGCCACTTTTGAGACGCACCCGATATATGTGTTCGTTCGTCACATTCCTAAACCCTTCGTCACATCCCTTAAATGCATTTCCATAAAGACAATAATATACTACTTTGGAAACATTATTTTACTGAATTTTACTTTCCAGAAATTGACTTGTGTATAACGGAATAAATATTTCCAGTCTTTCTAAAATCCTTTCATATTTTAGAAACATACTGAAAGATCAATTTATGGAAAGAAAGTAACGTTTTTAAAAGTTCCCGAAATTTTGAAAATATTTGGTTTGGAAATATAAGAAATGTGCGAAGGCGGTTCTGAGTCTCTCTATTTGACGATTCATTTGACGCATTTGAATTTGATTTGAAATTTTTGTGGATTTGTTAGTCTTTACTGAGCTTATTTTATGTTATATATTATTTATTCTACAACTTGTATTTAGCAAGAGAGGTAGTAAATCTAGAAGGAAATTATGGCAGAACTTAAATTAACAGTGACACTATTGCAATTTATCGAAAAAGACTGTAAAATAGATGGTTGTGTAGCGTGCGGTAGATCTCGGTCAAAAATCGGGGGAAAATGGAATAACTTTTCACTAGTAAGTGACTATAATATTCATTTATATATATAAAATTAAAGCTACGAATTTTTATGTAAAAAATGTGCTCTTCGTTTAGTTCGAAACAGTGAACGGTTTCCAAGATATTCGCGTTTAAATGTTCCGATGCATCGATTTTAGCATTAACGAAATCCGGAGATTAATTTATTTAAAATTTCTTTATATTTTATCATTTCCCTAATACTAAAATCGATGCATTGTAATCTTTAAACGCAAATATCTTGAAAACCGTTTACCTTTTCGTACTAAATGAAGAGCACCTGTTTTACTTTTCATATTATTTATTGAAATTACTATAATGATAAAAGAAGTACCACCTTTAGTAATCTCTACCCTAATGGAGAGTACCCTTTCAGAGTCGTTATTAAAAAGGAATGTTTTACAATTGTCATTCGCTTTGGCATTAAAATGTGTATAAAAATACCAAACTTTAGGAAAAACGGTTTACCAATGTTCTTCAAAATAAACAAAATATATTAGTTTTATTAAACCTTTCAAGAGCTGTAACTTCTTCGGGAAGTATTTTAAGGCATATATTTTTCTAAGAAACTTTTTGTTCTATTTTTATCGGTGGTGATTTTTAGTGGGTGATTCTACACACCCACCAAACACACACTAGTCAGATACACTAGTTTTTGACATCCTGTATACTTTTATTTACTACTTGTCAAAGAATTTAGATAGGTAGATCAATTTGATTATCATACGAATTGATATTAAATAACTGTTATAACTTATATTTTTATTAAAATTATATTATACAGGGTTGTTCACCACATAAGACACGGAGTATTGTAGCTAAACGATTAGATTTTTACAAATTGTAAATTTTAGGTTCGTTGAAGGGCTATATTAGAGCTACAATTTAAAATTATTTTTACTTTAGATACAGCCCAAGTAACACAAAAGTGCTCTTTCATATCGCTTTAATCTTTATAATTGTTTTATAAAGGAGTCTGAGGGACTTTAATAACTTTA